TCTCAGCTCTGCCTGGTTGCTTGCACCCCCTCACTGCCACTGCAAGCAAGAAGGTCTTAAAAATATTAATAAAAAAGAAAATTAAAAATCAGCAGACCTTGGCACTACAAGCTTTCAGCGCCACTTGCCCCTGTTAGGGGTGACCCCTACCCAGGCTCCATCTAATCAGGCCCATGTTAAAGTCCCCCATGGTTCCAGTCCCAGCTTTAGGTGCACAGATTTCCAGGCCAACACTGTTCACCCTTGCCTCAGTTTGTTGCAAGATAGGGCAGAAGTAGTCGATCTGCAGGTGGGGGAAAAGGTATCTCCCTGCACTACAGTTTGGCAGAACTGAAGTTCCTCCCTTGTCCCCACTGTCCAGTCCATGTCTTATTTTCTGCTAAAAGTTTCCATAGATCTGCATCTTTTTCAGTTTCCATCTGGCCCTTAGTTCTAGCAGTGCCCTGGGGCAAGGGAGGCGATGACTCCCTCTGGGACAAACACTGCAGTTTTCAACCCTGAGTTCTGCCCCGACCCAGTGAGGAGGTTGGTGGCAAGGCAAGAACACTGGATTTCAGTGGCAAGGCCAGGTGTCTTGAGGCTCCAGATCATGACAGCGGGGTACAGTGCACCAGGTCTTGTGTGCCCAGTCATGGTGGCAGATCAGGGCAGTCTAGGGTACTGGGTCATGATGGCAGAGCCAGGAGCACTTGTAGGTAACTCTTTTTCTCCTGTTGCTTTTAAGATGATCTGTTTGTCTTAGCATTTCCCATTTTAAATATGATGCTTCTTGGTGTGGGCCTCTTTGGGGTCATTTTGTTTGGGTCTCCCTGCACTTCCTGGACTTGTGTGTCTTTTTCCTTCACCAGGTTATGGAAGTTTTCAGTCATTATTTATTCAAATATGTTCTAAATATCTTGTTGTCTCTCTTCTGCTGCTGGTATGCCTATGATGCAGATATTGCTTCCTGTGGTTCCAATGATCCCTTAAACTATCATCTTTTTGGTGTCCAATTGGGTGTTTTCTGCTACATTGTCTTTCAATTAAGTAATTTGATTCTCTGCTTCATCCAACTTATTGTTTATTTTTTTCAGGGTATTCTTCATTTCAGATATTGTATTCTTTATTTCTGACTGGTTCTATTGTATCGTTTCTATGTCCTTTTTATGCTGTTGTAGTTCTCACTAAGTTATTTGCAGTTCTCGCTAAGTGTGTTGAGCATCCCTATAACCATTTTTAACTCTGTATCTTGTAAATTGCCTGCTTACATTTCATTTAGCTATTTTTTTTGAGATTTCTCTTGTTCTTTCATTTCAGACATGTTTCTTTGTATCCCCATTTTGGCTGCCTCTTATGTTTGTTTCTATGTATTAGGTATATCTGCTATGTCTCTAATCTTGGGAGGGACTCTGGTATAGGTCAATATCAGATGATGCCTGTGATTGGCCCTCAGCAACTTGTTTGGAGCTATGAAATGAACCATTATTTGAGGCTGCCCCTACTGGTCCTGGCTGTGCATGGAAACGATCAAGCTGTGCAAGAAGGCCGACTTCCACCAGCATTGATTCCAGGGCAGGTCAGCAAAAAGCCTTAGGTACCCTGAGATTAACCTCTGTCTGTCTTCGTCTGCCAGCTGCCTGTTAGTTTCAGTCATTGAAAGATCCTCCGGCAGTACTCAAACTGCAGGAAGAAGGTTCTCAGTGAGTTACCAGGTAGTTGCAAGGGATGTTCACCAGAGTGATACAGGCTAAATCTTGGTGATAGTGTTGGGTCCGAAGCTCCTCAGCAAATGTCCTAAGGTATACCAAATCTAGCTGCAGACTTTTATGATGGAGCAGGGTCTCAGGAAATCATCAGGGTTTTCCAGCATATTTTATCAGGCCCAAAGAGACCAATATTTGGCTATGTGAAAGAAAGGTTCTGCACCCATTGGATCTGCAAGGACAAAATGCCCTCCCCCCCCCCTTTAGAAAGACAC